TATTTCTACTTCTCTAATGTGATCTTAGATTATACTACTAGAAAAGTTAAGGTTACAAGAGATCTAATCTATTTGAAGGTTATATTTTTTTAACTATGATAAGCCTAAAATAATCAGATTGGAGGGAGATCTTATTATATCAAATACTACTAAGTTGTTATGATCTTTAATTATTACCTTTAAAAGAATAGTCTCATGGATAATATTTCCAAAAGATAATAAATGACCATCTATGACTTCTACATGTAAGAGTTTAATATTCTTGACTAAAGGTATTTTTTTTATTTTTGACAAAATCTTTGTCTACAAAATAAGTTGAGGCTCTTGAATTTAATAAGGCAAAGACTTTGTGATTTTTAGGTCCTAAACAAACATCTATTGTAAAATAAGATGAGGGGTCTGAAGACAAAATAGGACCTTTAGTAGGTATTGCATATGATTCCAGCTACACGATCCTTATTGTAGTTGGAAAAACTTATTTTCTAACACATTATCTTCTTTAGTAATTATGCTCCTTATTTTGTAATTGCATTATTTCTTTGGAAAATATTGAGTAGTGTATTTAGCTTCTTTACAATATAAATATAAACCCTCTTGGCAACATTAAGTCTTTTTTTGCTTTGTCAGGGATTTAAAATATATTATATCAATTTACATTAGTTCTAGCCTTGATAAAAGTATTTTAGAAAACTTGAGAGCTATCGCCATTACTTGACTTGTTTCTTCTAGCCAAGTCATTGTTCTTAACACCTTTCAAATAATCGATTGTTGCATGCAATGGCTTGAGCAATAAATTATTTTAAAGATTCTATTTTTGGCATTATTGATAATAAATCTTTGATACTATCTTTCAACTCATATTGAAATTGATTGATAAGTGCTTTGTTATTCTAGTCTATATCACAAGCAAGGCTTTAGAATTTAATAGCATATATGGTAGTTGATTGTAATCCTTGTCATAAAGATAAGAGTTTGATCTCTGCGACTTGTTCTAAATCACTTGCTCTAAATATGGCTATAAATACTTCTAAGAATGAATTTAAATGATAAAAAAGTCATGAATCGTTTTCTATTAAAGGTGCAAACTAAAAAAGAATACTTCCAAATAGAAATGTGCCTATAAAGCTGACTTGAGTGAATCCATCTCCATATTGGAAAGGGTGTAACTTTAAGTAGAACTTAACTTGTTGTAAAAACCTTCAAAATTTTGATCTTCTTCCATCAAACTTCTCGGGCATACTAATTCTTATCTCTTTTGAGCTTGTAAGAGCAAGACCTCTGAATTTGATTATGAAGCTAATTAACTTGTTTTCCTCAAATGTACAATTTTTTGATGTAGACTCTAGACTTCTTCCATAGGTATAGAAGTAGTGCTCCCATGATTGATGTTAATGATGCATGAGCTCAAAAAGATCCGCAATAGTTACAAATCTATTCTCACTTCCACTAGAAGTAGCATCTATAATCTTTCCTTCCATAAAAAACTCAAACAAATCCAAAAAGTTAAATTAAAGGAGGATAATTCATAACCTCTAATAAAAAATTTCACAAAGATGGATAATCAACTCTCTTAAAGAAAAATATTAGTATCAAAAAACATGATTTTTTGTTTAAAGGTGGATAGTGTTTAATCCTAAAAATATAATAATAGACGTTGAATAATCCATTCACTTCTAAAATAAGATAAAATTAGTATGTTAGCACTCTTGTCAAATTATCAAGGACATGAATCTTAAAGAAAGAAAATCCTCAACACATTCTTGTATCACGTAAGAGAACTAAAAAGTCACTCAAAAAGTGATGTAATATTAAACTAGAATGGCTATTGCCAAAAACAAGAAGAATAGAAAGTCTTGAAATAAGACTAAGGACTAGAAAGGTGTTGATATGAGTGAAGAAGGCTTCATTCTTGCCTCCATATATACTTTCTAACTAGAAGCTATGTGGTAATATTTTATAGGACCTCCAACATGTGTTGACTTTGCTAGCCATATGTCTTAACTTGCAAGGCAAGTTATTTATGTGTGTGCCACATAATTAACTTATTCTACAAGCTACTATACAAAGTTAATTTTTTCCACAAGCTATCAACACGTGGTTAACTTGTTGGCCAAGTTTCTATCCTACAAATACATCTAAAGTCAAAACTACATCTATGAAACTTCTAAGAAGCTTCTCTAAAAGACATTATGAATTTAATTTATATTTATATACTTCTACCTAATCATATAAGTAACTATTGGAATAAATATATATATATATATATATATATATATATATTTATATTCATGATATAAGATTAATTTAATCAAATTGTATAAAAAAGTGTGGATATTAGAGACTAAAGCTATTAAAATATAACAAAGAAAAGAATCCTTTCAACAAGTCCTATAACAATCGTGGCTATTGATGAAGTAAGATACATAATTTAGATTACATTTTCATCTAACTTAAATATTTTTTGATATAATATTTAATAAAAACATAGGCTATGCTTTTATATATCAAATTATGTTATATTTTGAGAAACTCAAAACCGGCTATACCAATAATGAAATTATAGATATAATACGACATAGATTTTAAAAAATAAAAATGGAGTTAGAAGCTACATTAATATCAATTGTATTTTCATGCAAAACTAAAGACTCCAAAGTGTTGAATTATATGATTAAATTTCATCCTAGAAAATTAGTTATTAATAAAAAATAATACTTATAGCATAACTCTTCTTTATGTTCAACTTGTAAAGAAAAAAGATAGCAACTAAATCAACCAAGGGATTCTCAATTTTTAATTTTTCATTTTTTTTAAATGTTTGTCTATGTCTTTGTACTTTGATCTTTGTTTTGGTTATGCAATAGCTATTCTTTTGAAATCATATATCTTACTAATTTTATTATCTTCTTTTTTAGTATACATATTTTGAATTTTAATGAATACACTTAGATTTATGTGTTGTATGTGTGTGTATATATATATATATATATATATATATATATATATAGGATTTTTATTTAGATTGTTAAAATTAATTTTTTTTTAAATTATCTTAATTTAATTGCGACAAATTTTCAGAAAACAGAAAATTATCAATTATTAGTATTTGATTTTTATAAATTTTTATAATCTAAATTTATCTTATAAAATTAATTTTTTATAAAAATAAATATATTTTTATATATCTTAAATTTTTATTATTTTAAAAAATTAAAAAAATTTAGATATTATATTTTGTGTTCTAAACAGTTTCACCATCAAAAACTTGTAATAAATATTTATATAAAACAAATATTTTGTTTAGAGTAAATATATCTAAGATAAAATCTATGTCTCTTTTGTATTAAAAATGTATTTTTGTGTTTTTTTCAAATCATAATTATATTACATTTAATATTATTTTAAATAACACTATTCAAATTTATAAATATGCTTCTATTAATCAAATAGATTTTTTGAAATACATTCATGTTAATTTTTAATATGATTTTATGTAAGCACACATACATTAAATTTGATTTAAGTCTTAGCATTAAATATATTTTATTACTAGAAAATATATATATATATATATATATATATATATATATATATAAAGAGAATTTTTAAACTTATTTATAAAAATAATTAAATTATTAAATTTATTTAATATTTAAGTTATATATTATCTTCTATAGGGGATTATAAAAATAAAAATCATAGATTCAAATCTAATACTAATCTCTAAGACATTTTAAATAATTCATGAAGTATAGTGGTTTAACTTAGAATCTTGTTGCTAGCCATTTTTTTGTACTTTTGAATTGAGTTCATTCTAAATTTTATTTGATCTACTTCCATATCTTATTTGTATAACTTATAAACCTTTTGTATCTTGAAATAACCATTAGGACAATTATCTATGTTTTGGTATAGTTTGATTTTTAGAACTTCTATTTCCTTCTTTTGAACAAAGTTATTCATTGAAATTGATCCACCAATTTGTTTATCAACAACAATTCTATCTAAGTATTACACAAAGCAATACTAACCTATGACAATACAATCAATCCAAAATTTTGATTATTTTACAACTAAACTTTAATAATTTTTTATATATTATGTATAAATATATTTTAAATAAATATATAATTTGAAAAAGTAAAGTATTGTAAAACTTATTTACTAAATAAATAAATAATTTAATATATAAAAATCTAAAATAAAAAACAAATAAAATTAGAGCCATATTTTCAAGAAACTATATTAAATAAAAATCTTTAAAACACACAACAATAACAATAAACAAAACCAAACAAAAAAAACAAATAAAAGTTCAAACTAAAAATACTTGCAAACTTACCTTATACTCATTTCAAAGAGCCTTCATATTAAAAATGTACATACAATGATTAAGATGATTGGATGATGTGAAAAACTCAATCTGAAGGATAAAACACAAAACAATGCCACACACCCAAGCCTTTAACCCATACACCAAACACAAAGAAAGACAACCTACTCAACCATAGTATTTCTTATATAAAACACCTCAATAGATAAACTAATGAGATAAACCAGAGGAGACAAAAACCATCTTTGATTGGTTGCATATCTCATTGTTTTCATCAAAAGTGAAGGAAAAGTAAAACAATAACTCAACTTTTGATCCATGAGAGATCGAAATTTGTGTATTGTTGCTACAAATTGCAAAGAGTAGTATTCCAAGATCCCTAGGCACACAATTATTCTGCTTATTATTCTGCAAATCAAACTTTTAAAAAACTTATCTAATGAACTAAGATTAAATTATTTCAAAAATTAAACTTTTACACCTTTTATTTTATTTCAGTGGCCAACTGCAAGGTTTCCAATTACAAAATAAATCTGCTTCCAACGGTGCAGAAATGTTCAACCTCAACTCTAGCTTGCAACCAAGTGTGGCACTTTGTGCCCCATGGCCCAGAGAATATCCCACATGTAAATCCATCATTGCTTTCCTCAATTCCTACACCTCTCTTGCATGTAGAATCAAGGGTCACAATGCTGTTTTCATAGGGACAATCTGCATGTTTGAGGCATCTTTGCATGTGTCCAAGTCCTGTGTCCATGCAATGACTGCTTCATTCTCAGCATTCCTGCTCATTTTGAGTGTTGCCTCTGTGTTTTGAGGGTGCATTTTTTCTTCTGAATGTTTGTGGGTTCATCTGTGGATGGTTTTTGGCTTCGAGGAGAGTTGTTACTTGGGCCGGTCGGTGGTCATGGTTTGTAGTGAGTTGGTCGTTTGAAAGTGTGGTTTTATAGGAGGGAGTTCAATTGGGGATCGGCGTTTGTTTCGTGTTTGATTGTTGGGAGCTGGTGTGTATTTTTTTGTGGCTCTGCTTGTGGTGGAGTTGTGACGATTCGAGAGGCTCTGCCCTAATTTTGCTCCGCTCTCTGACCCTCGTCTGTGGTCAGTGAATTTGTCGAGAAAAATTCAGCTGTTCTTACAATTTTTGTGTTTTTGTTTTCCAGGGTGTTTGATTCCTTCGAATCCCAACCGCTGACTCTGAAGAGCTGATCCATCTTTATTTTTTCTGTCAAGTTGGCTTTAAGGCTCATTTCTTTACTGCATGTGATGCCTGATTGAGGTCCACACCTAGTTTTGGACTTTGTTTGGGTGGCGCTGTTGTGTACTACAGATTGGGAGAGTCTTCATTTTTAAATTGCGGGGGATAGAGTTTATGGTATCGGGCTGGTCTACTTTGGGGTGTCGAAAAGGTTGTTGGGTGAACTCTTGTTTCTTCCCTCGCTGGTGCTCTTGGTTCGGTCATTAAAAAATTGGCTGTCTGGGGTTTACCTGAATCCGAAGATTGAAGGACTCTTCGGTGTTGTTGGAAAGATTTTCAAATCCCTGGAGCGGAAAACGTAGTGACATTGTATTTTGTGCGTACTTGTGAATAGTATTAATCTAGAACTTCTTGCACGCCTTTGTTCATGCAAGTGTCTCCTTCCTATTTCATCTTAGGGAGATAGTTGTGAGCATGAATGCTTCTGATTCCGTCCACTCCCCAGCTATCTTTAGTTCATTTATTTTTCCCTTCATAGTTTTAAAGTCCTAAGGCCCAAGACGGGTGTGAGAATATTGGCTCTATAACAAACCCCCATGTTTAGTTGCTGTACCAGTATTGCCTTCGGATTGCATTTTTTCCGTTCTATTTGATGCATTGCCCTTGGGAGCTGGGAATGGTCAGTGCCGGTGAATCACACATGAATTCTGGATGGCAAACAAGACTACCAAGGTCTGTTTGAGGATATTGGATTCCCTGTGAAGCGCGGGTGGCGCAATCGGTGTTATATTTTCCTTCCCTTTCTCAAGATGGGCTGTGCTACATGTGTGGATGAGCAAGACTAGGCTGGCTCAGCGGCACGGCAATCATGGTGGTTGCCAGTTCGAAAGCTTCAGCTCAGGCATGTTGATTCTACAGAGAATAGTTTCATATGTCAATGTACAGAGTATGTTTATCATAGACGAGTTTTGTAAAGTTAAGGCAGGGGTCTCTCTTGGATCATTGCTAACGCAGAGAATTACTTTTCAAGAAAAAAAGGCGAAGTATCTACAAGGAAAGCTTGGCATCCTGAGTGCTAATGGTATTTTCTGCAAGACCTAATTGCATAGCTTTCTCGTATACTGCAGAATGTTTTTGCGGACTTGCTGGATTCGCTCATTTTAGATGTGGCATCTGAAGCACACAGAGCTACTCGTCTGGGCTTTGACTATCGGCTGAAGGGCGAGGAGGCAGATGCAGCGCGCACCTGCGCTAGTGTCCGAGCTGCCTTGGGCGATGTCGACTCTGCTGCCTCCGAGAACAGTGGCAAGTACACTGTGGATGTATTCGAACAGACACATCCCAGCATTGCTCAAGAGATGTTCGATTGTATGAATTGTGGGCGTCTTATTGTCGCTGGTCGCTTTGCTCCTCATCTTGAGAAATGTATGGGAAAGGTGAGCATTTGATCCCATGTAACATTTATCATTCCGATGAATGTATTTTTAGAGAATTGTTTAGAAAAATCTTACAGCTATTGAGACCCAACGTACACATGGGGTTTAGTAGAAGCACAAAGAAAGGCGTTCCTTGTGATACTAGCTCTCTTTTGGAGTCTACTAATGCTGCAGCGTATGTGCCAACCGATGGCAGTCATAATTGGCCTAGGGATTGTTTATCTTGTGATCATTATCTCGATATTTCTGACAACAGGGTCGGAAGACACGGGTGAAGTCAAGCTCTAGTGTGAATGGTAGTCAGTCCCGGCGAGGTCGGGTAGCTGCAGCGACTTCCAAAAACATAACCGACAATTCTGCTGGTCATAACCCATTCTCAAGTAAGCCACTCGTGCGAGGTGCTGCTCATGAATCTCAGGATAGTGCCCCAGAAGTTAACGGAACTTCAATAACTGGGGGCTCATCTGAGGTTGATAAGTATTTCCTTAACGATATTTCTTCTTAGCCTTGCTTTAATTCAACGGTGAGACATAGGTTGAAATATAATTTCGTTTTCAATTCCTTCTTCCTGCATCCTATAATTTCTGGATCACAATTTTCGTATTGAGTATACTTTCTCAGTTAAGGATTTTGGATTTATGCTTCGGTCATGCCCCTTCTGAGTTATCGTTAGCATCAAAGGTTAGCGTTTATGAATTCAGGGTATTCCACGTCCGGATGTTGACACTGATTGTTGTTTTCGGAATTTTTAGGACGTTGTTCCAGGGTCGTCTCATCCTGGGAAAGCAAGAACCAAAAAGAGCTCCTTCAAATTACAGTGGGTGAATCCAGCTGCAAGCCTGTTTAATGGCCTTGTAGACAGAGAAGGTTCTGCATTTGACACTACTCCGGGATCCCAGCTTGGTCTTGTAGCTGGCATGGCAGTATCTGTGGACCCTGAAGCTCCAGTTGCAAACTTCAGATCGATGGGATCCGCTCGTACAAGCTCCATCAAGGGACGGAAAGGCAACGAGAAGAAGAGGAACATTGGGCAAGTTTTGGCGGGGTCTGCCAGCATGGCCAATGGAGTTAATGGAAACGGGGATTTGGATACGTGGTCGAGAGCTGTGGATATTAGAATTGAAAATTCAGATGCCTCTCTAATGCCTCCATTGTGGAGTCCTTCCTGGGGTTAATGTTTGTAGCTAATCTTACGGAACATGATGTGTCTCTGTCTACGAGCAGTCTCTGCTTCAACTACATGGAGCCTGTGAAGGTTGCTCAGGGAAAACAAAATTCGGAATCCTCTATTGATTTGCGAGTGAGCTTGCAAACCTGAGATTGCTCCCTTCTGCAGAGATTGCTACACTAAGGATTGCAACACTGGCATCGAGAGATCCTATCGTAGGCAAAAGTAGGTGAAAATTTGAACAGTAAGGACTATGAACACATATGAAGAGTGTATAAACTATGTGCCTGAAAGAAATGTTCCCCGAAGTTTGCATATACAGAGCAGTACATTGCCCGAGGGTCATCCACATGCCAGAGGTTTGGAATGCTTCACAGCGCCTGCCATCTTACAGTTGAGGCAATTTTTTTGTGTTGTGGTATCCCTGATCTTTACTTCACCGTTCTTAGGCATCTGAACCGTCTTTGATGATATTATTTGATGTTTTGCTTCTTTTTTCTGTCTCAGGATTAACAAGTCTTCTCACTCCATGAAGTTAGGAAGCCTAAGTGATGACAAGCTCAAAGTATAAGTATATTCAAGGACAACATCAATGAAGTATTAGCACCAGCAGTATGTGAATATGACGTATTGAATGTTACTGCAGGGAAAGGAGTATCCACACTGCATACCAAGAACCCTTGCAGCTCTTCCGCTTCAACACCATGAACTTCCCTTGGCGAGAATCTTTGACAGCAGTGCACGAGAACGAATATCCGGATGTTCTGCGGGAGCCTCGAGCTCGAGCACGCGCGCTGCAGGCTGGGCAAGGCGTGGATTCGGTGAACTCCAACCTGGAGATTTTGCTAGATCCCAACGAGCCCGACTTCATGCACATACCTACTCAACCGATGAACATGGACAAGACTGACTCTTTGCAGGTGAGTTTGAGGAAAATGACCACCTTCGAACGGAAGAGTTGGTTGAGAGATAACTGGGACAACTTCCAAATTCTGAAACTGCATAACCGTTCCGATCAGTTCGAAGACCGAATGCGGCGATTTCTTTGTGGTGAAAGTGACAATGTTATGAACTCACAGACTCGCCGGTTGTTGATGGCGTCGAATTCGTCATCTGAATCCAACGTCACTGATGACACCTTGATGCCGGTTGAGGCCATGAACAATATTGATGAGCAGAGAATATGTCAAAAGGAGGGGAACGATGAAAAGGGCAACTTCTGTACTAAACGCTTCTTCATAACATGGATGTCACCTGTAAGTTCTTTCGGTCCCCGAGAGCGACTTGGTCTGCAAAGCATCTTTAAGTGGCACCCACATGCCTGTGTTGTGATACTTTCGAGGACAATGGATTCTGACGAAGGTCAAATTATTCTGGAGCCGTTTATCGAGAGAGGTTACAGAATCATGGCCGTGACACCCAACGTTATTTCTCTCTTCGAGAACTTACCTGCAGCGGAATGGTTTAAACAACAACGAGATGGAACTGGTGATCCTGGCTGCATCAACTTCATGCAAAACATGTCCAACATCATGCGTCTTACGGTGCTTTACAAATACGGGGGTATCTACCTTGACAGTGACGTGATTGTCCTGAAATCTTTTGACGGGCTCAGGAATGTCGTTGGAGCGCAGAGCAGGAGCATTGCAGTTGGAGAATGGACCAGACTCAACAACGCCGTGCTGGTGTTCGATAGAGAACATCCAGTGGTGTACGAGTTTCTTCGTGAGTTTGTGGCCACTTTTGATGGCAGCAAATGGGGATGGAATGGGCCTTACCTTGTAACCAGAGTGCTGCAGAAGGTGAAAGAACAGCAATGGCAGAATTGCTCCTCTGTCTCAGTCCTACCATTGGAAGCTTTCTACCCCCTCAACTGGGTCGACATTGTTGCTTTTTTTCATGCCCATTCCGAGCATGATCAGAGGTGGCAGGTAGTTCATCAACCTAGATTTATTTGAAATGCAATTAAAATCTGCGTAAACTGTTCATTCAATATGGAGAATGTTTCAATTTTTGCACAAACTAATGAGTTGGTATAGTACTATTCACATTTAAGCAGTGAACTGCGTGTAGCAACAATGTAGCACCAATGTAGTGAAGGAAGGGTGTTCTTCAATATCAATACAGGCAACCAGGTATTCTTCAATCATTTTAGAGCTAATGAATCGACTCTCATGAACGTACTCTGCATTATTATTTGAACTATTTTGAACGAGTGTAGTATTTGGTAGTGTGCAATAGGAGATCAATGTTGTCAAATCAGGTTTTAGGCTCAGAAACTGAGGTTTGTATTATTAAAAACTGCCAATGAAGCTTTGAGTTTAGTTACTCTTTTCAAGATGTTTTTCCAATTATTCTTTAATTAGTAATGTTGTAAAAGTACAACAACAATGATCACATTCTTTTATTATGATACTTAAAAAAATTATTTTGAATTTTCACATCTGACATTCATTGTTTTATGTGGTTTTAATATAAGCTACTCATATCAATGATAGTTTTCAAATTACACCACTTAATTCAAAATTATTTCAATCAAAGGACAAGAAGGGAGAAGAGAGACCAAGGGGTTAAAATTCAATTCAAATATTAAAAAGATATCATGATATTGGTTTCTTTACTACCAAAGTCTTCTGTAAATGTTTTTTATAACATATTTTCTATAATGAAACAAGATAGTCTAAATTAGTTGAAAAATCCGCTTGATTGTTAAAATATTTTAAAAAATGATCCTCTAATTTTTTGTTGCATTTGAAAGTCCCAGCCACTTAATTTTATAAACTTTTTCATAACATCTTTAACTTATATGCTAACTTATATGTTCCAAAGCAGTGATTTTTTTATCACCAATGTAATATATATTCTTCTATCTATGTAGTAAATAATTTGGTAATTTCAAATTCCAAAGTATTTTTCTAAACATTTTTTTTATTTAGTTAAAAATGGCTAATATATATTAATTTTATTTTTCGTAAATTTCCATTAATAGATCAATCTTACTTATAATATAAAAAATATTAACTAATAATAACTCTATATTTAAAATCATTGTTGTTATGTATTACCAATTGTTAAAATCATTCTATAATATAATTAAATGTTCTTCAAAACTTGACACATTGATTTTGATCCAAAATATCTTTCATTTTTCAATAAAACCTTAATTTTTCTTTCATTTATCTTTGGCGTTGAGTCCAAACGTTTTCAATTCTATATTGCATTTTTGATATAGTACCAATATCTTAAACATAACTATTATAATGCTTCAAAAAACTTAAAGATCTTTGTGAAATTTTTTTGATTAAAAATCCTAAATTATTGATTTATACTTGAAGAATGATTCTAAAAACTAATTTATTATATATGATTGACAAATATTCAAACCTTTGAATTTTAATCACAAAATCAAAATAATATATTAATTTTATATTATATTTTTTAAATATAAATTAATATAAAACTTATTAAATGTGATATAATAGAACACATATAAGCATGATTTACAAAATAAGATTAAGTATTCATATTTTTTATATTAATGTTTAAAAAATAATTTAGAAATTAAAAGAATAATATTATTCAAAAATATTCTCCAAATAGTTTTTAAATTTTAGTTTCCCCACATTCTCCTTTGACTTCTTTCAATCCAAATCTTCTTATTTCTAATTTTTCAACAAATACTTCTAATCCAAAGTTTAATTTTGAAATCTATATATAAAAGAAAAATTAAATCATAACAACAAATATGAATTACATAGATTTTAACTTCACTCCAATATGTATGCTAATCAAATAATTTTTAGAATCATTCCTTATACTACATCCTATCAAATATTTAAATGTATAATCATTGCTTCAACTAAATTACAACAATGCATTATAATGTATAAGATATTCATATGCAACAACATATGAGTCAATTTTTTACATAAATAGTAATATAAAACTTAGGCTACAACAACATTAATAAGCCCAAGGCAAGGCCAAGCAAAAACAAATAAACAAACAAACCTTGAACTTTACATTGGGCCAACCAAAAACAAACAAGCAAACAAACAAATAAACAATTAATACTCATTCATATAGCAAATAATATATAAAAGTAATACAAACTCCAAGAAATACTCAACATAGAGCCTTGTACATCAATTAGCTAATAACTCAAGGAAAAACCTTAAATCCTATAAACTCAAGCTTGGATAGATGCAAATTCTAATTGATAAATTACTCTACATAAGTCACACAACAATTGATCCAACTCGGCCACATAAACTTATTGATATTGTCAACTCAAACTACAACATCAATTGGGCCTTGAGAATAGATAATATTATAGAATAGTTCCACTCACTCTATAATCCATACAATCTACCACACCCTCAATGCAATAGACCATTCTTTAATCTAAGCATGTTAGATATCTAAGTACTTTCTAGAGAAGCATGTAAAGCATAGAAATTTCTATCATGTACTCTAGCCACAACATTACTTGCACAAAAGAGAACAATGTCACGACATGTAAATACAAATAGAAGTGAAAAAGACATAGAGCTTTTAATAAGCACAAGGCAAGGCCAAGCAAGGTTCTCTATACTTGGAATTGGACCAATTGGTCATGACGAGGATGAAAATTATACCTTTGATACCTCTCTCATCTATGTGCTATTAGTTTTTTTTGGCTTTTTTGGCTTTTTTATTTATTTATTTAATTCAATTCAATATAATTTGACCACCTCAACTTTCTCTAGAATCACTCTTTAATTTAGAAGAATGTTAAATAGATAAAGGTTTTTAGTAAATTAACCTATTTTTGATGAAGAATATGGTAATCATGATGAATATAATTAGTTTTTATTGATTTTGGATTCAGTAGAGGAGATATGAATACAGAGGTCATTATTCTAATGGGTGTTGATAGACCAATAAAAATGGTGAGATGTACACTGTATTCATCCAAAAACCGACAAGGCTTGCCTACGCCTGTGATAACATCTAGCAAACAATGTGATGGGGCCACTTGCTTTGCATGTCAATGAATTCACGGTGCCCATCATCCCATGTTCCAAGTGGAAACTAGCGATAGGGCAGCGAATCATGCCAGGGTGGGCTCTTTGTAGTTCTTCGTCTAAGCTGTGTCGGATTCGGTGACCTTGATCGAAGATGAGTCTCGAAGACTGAGAGTGTAACCGCGTGTTTGGGGGAGGCGAGGGCGTTTTGGAGGAGTCGCTTTTTTTTAGACACGTATGCTTCTCGGCCATCGTGTTGTTACTAGACTGGTGTTGAGATGAAGCTGATTTTGATTTTGTAGAACACCAATCTACAGGTGTATTAAACAAGTTTGAGCTCTGTTTTTTGTTGCGTTCGTTGGATTAAATGGTGATTCTTACTGCAGGAGCTATTTTGCCTGTTTCACGTGGAGTTTTTGTGTTCACGTGACAGTTACTTCAGATGGAATGAACTCAACTTAGTTTGTGTCTCGCTTAGTCCTTCTATTATGTGCATAAAATCTTAGTCGAATTGTTCTGCGCTTTGACTATACTCATCCACTACCTGTGCATTCGGAATGTGGAAATGTAGGTTTATGGATCAAAGGACAATAGCCTAGGCTCTCTTCATCCACTCGATTTCGACAGTGCATTGTATACTTGAAACCTTTCTGTGCTGTAATCTCACTAAACGCGTCAACAGGCTGCGGAAGTGGTTCATTTGGCTAAACATTGCTAGAGGTGGAACCTGACCGATTTCTTTGGAATTGTGTGCAGCTTGCGTCTCCTCAAATTTGAAGTTTCATCTTGCCAAGCGACAGAGGCCCGAATCTTGAAACTTACCTGCAGACACCATCGCAAAAGAAGCGTCCATGGGAATGGACGAGACTGTCGATATTAGCCCAGTGACCGGCTTGCCACATTGGGAAATTATTCCAAGCGATATGCCCAGTGCCATTAAGCGGATCAAGGCTGCATTGCGTGAGCGCATCAAAGCTTCTGGTCGCACAGTGGAGGAGGTCATCCTTGAGATTGAGGAATTTCTGAGAGCCGAAGTGGAAGGTATTAAGGCCACCAAATCTCGTGGGGAGGAGGTTTGGCCTATCATCGACTTTGCCGACATCGAGAACGGAACGGTGAGCGAGGAAGCCAAACGCAAAATCCATCGGCGCGGCTGTCTCATGATACGCGGCCACTTTGACCGTGCGCAAGCAGAAAAGTGGGACTCCGATGCAGTCAGTTACGTTGATTTCAATCAATTCTTTCAAAAGTACTCTGGTCCAGCAGACGATTTCTTCGGCAGCCTTGAGATGTCAAAGCCGGAGATTTATCCGATATACTGGTCTCGCACACAAATGGAGGCTCGTCAGCACCCCCGAATGGCGACGGCACAGAAATTCCTAAACTCGCTGTGGAAGATTGAGTCGGAAGGAAAAACCTGGTTCGATCCAAACCAGCAGAGTCTTTACCCAGACCGCCTGCGTCGTCGCCCGCCAGGAACCAACTCCAAAGGCTTGGGCACGCACCTAGACCCTGGAACCTTAGATTTGTGGATGACAGAAGGATACCAGCAATATTTTCGACATCTCTTCTCGGGAGATTTTGCTTCCTACGACCCTTGGGATCCCGCCTACCGAACAGAAGCCGCAGTATTCCCTGGTTCGACAATGTGCTCGGCTTTTCGGACATTCCAAGGGTGGACCGCGCTCAGTGAAATGCGCAACGATTCGGGTGTGTTGCACACCATACCCATCCCGAAGGCCATGGCCTATTTAATGCTCCGCCCTTTGATGAACGACGTAGAGGGAGTCGACATGTGCGGAGTAAGCCTGAATTGTGCATTTCCTGTTCATAGAAAATGGCACTCCGTTTTGCTGGAAGCAAGCTCCGCCATCCCCAGCGTTCAACCCGGGGATTCGGTTTGGTGGCATTGTGACATGATTCATTCTGTCGCACCGGTCGAGAAACAACAAGGTTGGGGCAATGTAGTGTACATTCCCGCCGCACCTTGGTGTCGGAAAAACGCGACGTATGTCGAAGCGGTGTGCAAAGCATTCTTGGCTGGCAGCAGCCCTCCCGACTTCCCAGCGGAGAATTACGAGGCCAACTGGAACAACCGATTCAGAGAAGAGGATCTCAATGACATTGGTCGACAAAGCTTGGGCCTTCGCACCTAGATTTGACTCATGTGCGCAAGCCAAATCAGTTGAAGCATTTTGAAAATGAATGCTGACATGTGTTGAACTATGCAAAAGATGAGAATGTAATGTATAGATACAGAATATATTCACAGTAACATCCGAGTCTTGTAGAGTACAGTGGTCCCATGGCACTCGTTCCTATAAACTGCCTCAAGAAAAAAACTCAATTACTTTTTTGTGTATACAATCGACCAGTCATTGCATTTCGAGAGTGTCTCTAGCTATGGAGAAATCCCGAACCACATGCCGCACTTGCAGACTAGAGCCTCATGTCTCAGCCATGTTTGTAATGAAGTTGCCCGCGGCATCCTTGTTTCGCGCACTAGACCTGCGATGTCTCCAATCGTTCACTTTACACAATCTCACTTGAAATTTTACCATGTCCACAGCTTAAGGTCACCCACCACGACATGCTGTTCTCTAGCCTGAGTCACTCAGCTGATCTAATTCTGAAATCCTCAAAACTCGGCTTAACTGAATACATGCAACGAAAATCTGTGGAAACATCCACACTCTGGACCTCAGATCTTTGATTTAATTGACTGAGCTCTCTAATTGCTTCCGATATGAAGAATTAGCGGGCCATGTAGGTATGCATGCGCCCCGAGATGTGAACGGAGCGAAAAGCCAATGGCACTGGATATCGAACTAGATAACTCGCTCTCATTGGCCATTGGTTTTTCATCGTAATTCGTGACTGCCATTCCTCCTATTTTTTCAGGCCTTGTAATCAGGTTTTTGCAACCAACAGCAATTGTTCCTTTCTATTGTGAGCACAGTCCTCTATTCATCGTGAAGCAAGAGCTATGGCATCCATCGTCTTGTGTAGTGATGAAGGGAGCCTGTTAAAGTAAATGGATGATAAGTTAGAAGATAAAAGATATTATCTTAGATAAGTTGTTAACGGTGAAAGGGCAGCAAAAAGATGAAAGAAAGTTACCAAAGTGGCGGCTAGGTTAAGAAGAATCTAGGGTTTAGTTGGATGAAAGTAAGATGAACACTAGCCAAAATAGATGTAAACTCTACCTATAAGTAAAAGATGTTAGAAGTGAGAGGCATCTCATTCCATACTTCTCTTGTGTCTAATCTTGCTGTTTTTTACCTACTTGTGTCTTGCTTGTGTTTTTTCAATAGGTTATGGGCCCAAACACACTTTGTTGTGCTATTCAAGTAAGTTGAAGTCATTTACTCGTTGTTGTTCTTGTGTGGAATAGATCTTATGGTGTTTGCTGATGTTATGGATTGTATGATCTAATCTTGTGTTTTGACTTGTGAAGGTTCTAATTTGGACCTTATAGATCTCTAATATCAGTTTGAAGGTTCTTAACTCCTAGGATTGAGTGATTAAGACCTTATACAAAGACCTTAATAGTGTCTTTGGTGTTATGAGTGGAAGAACTTGATGGTGAGGTTGATTGGAATTCACATACTTATTAGAAGCTTCAAAAGTTGATTTGAGAGTGTTTGGAGTGAAGAAACATTCATTTGTTTACAAGAGGGCATTCTGAGATTTTGCTAGTCCAAAATTATTTTGGTGATTTTAAGCACATAGAGACTCTTTTTCTTGATATTTTTTGATAGACCTCTTCTGAGACATGGCTTCAAGTGAAGGTGAAGGTTTGAGAGTGATTGAGAAGTTTAAAGGTAACAATTTCTACCATTGGAAGATCAAAATGAAGCTTTTGTTGGCGTCTTTGGACCTTTGGGACATTATAGATGAAAGTGAAGAGCCTCCAAGCATGCATGTTGATGCTAAAGAAAGGAAAGACTTCACAAGATGTGAAAAGAAGGCTTTTGGCATGATTGCCACCAATTTGAATGAAGCCAACTTTTCTCACATCATCTCTTGCAAAGAACTAGCAGAAGCATGGAAGATTATTTGTAATATATATGAAAGCAAGAACTTATCCAATATCATCTTCACAAGGAGGAAATTCTTTACTTGCAAGATGGAAGAAGGTGAAGACCTCATTACTCATGTCAAGAAGGTAAAGGCCCTTGCTAATCAACTTGCAATTGTTGACAAGCCTTTAGAAGAGAGTGATATTATCATGACCTTGCTTATGAGCCTTCTCGAGTCCTACAGATACCTTATTGTAGCATTGGAGTCCATCAAGCTAAAAGAACTAACAATGAATTATGTGACGGCAAGACTTACCCATGAAATAACTAAGAGGAAAGAAAAAGAGCTTCAAAGTGAAGATTCGGCTCTCTTTTCAAGACAAGACAACGAGAGTTATTTTAACCAATGTGGCAATGTGAGAATTTGCTTCATTTGTAGAAAACCAGGTCACTTTGCTCGAAATTGCTACAAGACTAAGAAAGGAGATAGAGAAAGTGTAAACAATGCTCGTGATGAATATGGAGGTGATGATTATGCATTCATGGCAAATGAAGGCACTTCCATGGCTGCCATGTCCAAGTGGATCATTGATTCTGGTGCCACCAAATACATGATTCCATATAAGTGTTCATTTGACACTTATGAAGAGATTTCAACAACAAATATCCTCATGGGATACAATGGCATAGTACAAGCTATTGGAATGGGCTTTGTTGCTATAAAGATAGTTGTGAAAGGCCAAACCAAGATGATCAGATTGAAGGACGTCTTACATGTGCCAAAGATGAAGAAAAACCTCTTCTTGGTGAGTAAACTTGTTTCACATGGTTGTAAAGTGCAATTTGATAAGAATGGATGTTTTGTGAGGACATTGGAAGGAGATCATATTATAAAGGGCTTTAGAGATGGTAATTTCTACTTCATCAAGTGTAAGAAGGTGAATGGACTTGAAGTGGCGATATTTGCTGAATTTCCTCAAGATCAAGACAAGTTTGGCATTTGGCATCAACACCTTGGTCATTTGAATGCCAAGAGCATGAAGGAGCTCCAATCCATGGTAAGTGGCTTAGATCTTGGTCATATAAGCCACAATGCTATGACACTTAGTTGTGAAGGTTATATTCAAAGCAATCAACAAAGGGCTTCATTTTCAAGTCGAATTTCAACACATGCAACCAAGTTATTGGAAATTGTCCATTCTGATGTTTGTGGACCTATGAAGATACCATCAATAGGAGGTGTAAGGTATTTTGTCACATTCATCGGTGATTTTTCAAAGAAAGTGTGGATTTTCATCCTCAAAGCAAAGAGTGAGTGTTTCACAAGGTTTAAGGAGTTTAAGGCACTTGTGGAGAAGCAATGTGAATGTAAAATCAAGGTATTGCGTACGAACAATGGAGGTGAGTATATGTCAAAGCAATTCAATGATTTCTTGAAGATGCATGGTATTGCAAGACAAACCTCCACTCCTTACACTCTACAACAAAATAGAATTGCTGAAAGAGCCAATCGGACCATTGTGGAGATGGCAAGGAGTATGCTTCATGCACAACACCTTGGACATGAGTTTTGGACGGAAGTAGTGGTGAATGCAATGTATACAAGAAATAAGTGTCCTACAAGTGCACTTACATCAATGATGCCGGAAGAAGCTTGAAGTGGGAGAAAATCTTATGTTTCTCACATCAGGACCTTTGGATGCATAACATATGCAAAGATATTAGATTGTATGAGATCAAAATTCGATGCAAAAGGTACAAATTGTGTGTTTGTTGGATATTGTGAAGGTACAAAGGCTTATAGGCTCACGTGTTTGGAGACTAAAAAGATCATCAAAAGTCATGATGTTGAGTTTTTGGAGCACAAGAATGCTTATGAGCATTTGGAGATGTGTTCAAATGGGAGTAATGATGTGTTTGTAGACACGTCCTTAAATTCAGGAAAGAAGGAAGAAGACAAAGATAATGATGGTTGTAAACGTAGAAATAAAGATGAAGAAGCAAAGAATGTGGACAATAAGGCCTCTACAATTGCTAAGACCAACAATGAAGATCATGAAGATGTTGATGATGATGGTGATGAGGATTATGACCCTTGGAGTGAGAAAAGACTATCTCAAAAGAAAAGAAGGTTGGAAGTGACCATGGAGTGTAAAAAGTGAATCTTTCTTCAAATGAAAGGAGATATCCTTTGAGAGATAGAAAACAACGTGGTAAATGGTGGAAGGACCACATTTTTCCTCAAGTAAGTGAAGAACATGCCAATGTTGCACTTCTTGCTAATCCGTTGAGTTTAAGTGATGCAATGAAGTCCACGGATGCTATGAAGTAGGAAAATACTATGGAAGAAGAGTAGAAATCACTCATAGACGATAGAATATGGAAAGTGACTCAATTTCCATGAAATCAAGTTTCAATTGATTGTAAGTGGGTGTTTAAAACAAAGAGGGATGCAATGGACAATGTTATGAGGTATAAGGTAAGATTGGTAGCCAAAAGCTTCTCACAAGTTGTTGGTGTTGATTTCAATGAGACATTTGATCTCGTGGCCAAATTCACCACCATTAGAACCATTGTGGCAATTGAGGCAACAATTGACTTGGAGATGCATCAAATGGATGTGAAGATGGCTTTTTTGAATGAAAAATTGGAAGAAGACATCTACATGGATCAACTTCAAGGATTTGTTGAAGAAGGCAAACAATATCTTTTGTGTAAGTTGAAGAAATCCTTGTATGAGATCAAGGAATCATCAAAAGCATGGTACCAACGTATCGACACTTTTTTTTTTTTATCAATGAGGGATTTGTAAGGAGTGAGACTGATCATTCTATATATGTAATGTAATCAAAAGCCTTCTTACTGATTGTTATTCTTTACGTTAATGATTTGATCATCTTGACCAATACTTTGAAAAAGATAGATTGGTTGAAGGCAAAGCTAGCAAAAGAATTTGAAATGAGTGATTTGGTAGAGCTCTACTATTGCTTAGGAGTGGAGTTTGTGAGAGATCGAGCTAAGAAGATCATTACATTGAGCCAAAAGAAGTACATTGAAGAAGTGTTGAAACGGTTCAACATGGAGGAGTGCAAGTCCATTGGAACACCTTTGGAGGCAAATTTAAAGTTGATGAAGCTCACAGATGAAGAATTTATTGAAGTTGAAGAAAAAATGAAAGATATTTCATACAAGGCAACAGTAGGTTCATTTATGTATACAAAGATTGGTACAAAGGTGGATCTTGTATATGTGGTGAGTATTGTGAGTCAACACATGTGAAAGGCTGGACCAACTCATTGGGCAACCATTAAGGGAATCTTGAAGTACTTAAAAGGCACTTTGAACTTCAAATTGTGCCTTGGAGGTGAAAGTATTACATTGCATGGATATTGTGATGTAGATTGGGCTGGAGTTGCAAATGATAGAAGTTCAACAACAAGATATGTATTCTTTGTTGGAGTGGGAATAATTTCATGGAATTGGAAGAGACAACCAACAATTTCAAGGTCTACAATGGAGGCAGAATACATGGCAGCAAGTCATGGTGCAATAGAGGCAATATGGCTAAGACAAGTTTTAGAAGACATTGGACTTGTGCAATTGGAAGCAACTCCAATGAAGTGTGACAATTAAGGATGCCTTACTTTTGCTAAGAATCCAAAACATCATTCAAGGACAAAGCACATTGACATTCAACATTACTTCATATGGAAGAAGATTGAGATGGGAGTGATTGACATGAAGTATTGTGCAACGAAAGACATGCTTACTAATTTCCTCACAAAAGCATTGGTGAAGGATAGACATTACAAATTGACAAAGGGATTAGGTTTATTAGCCTTCTATCAATAGCAAAGTGGGAGTGTTAAAGTAAATGGAGGATAAGTTAGAAGATAAAAGATATTATCTTAGAGAAGTTGTTAATGGTCAAAAGACAACAAAAGGATGAAAAAAAGTTACCGAGGTGGTGGCTAGGAATATAGGTAGAGGCTAAGGTTTAAAGTGGTGGCTAGATTAAGAGGAATCTAGGGTTTTGTTACGGACCAAAAATACAAACAAGAAATCTAAACAAGAAGTTCAAGAAGAAATGGCAAGAACTAGATTATCAGATGAATATAAGAGCAACGCCAAGAGAATTGAGCTAGAGCTTCAAGAGATGCGTTGTCGAGACTGAAGAACTCTTCAACCTCGACTCCTATATATACTACTGGCCTATGGTTCTAAGGAAGCGCATCAAGAAGCTTCCCAAGAACTATGAAGCTTCTCGAGCAATTACCCAAGAGCTAGGAAGCTTCTCAAGTAACTTCCTAGAATCTACTAGAATATTCTAAGAATCTTTTAGAGCCTTCTAAGGGAATCTTTAGGGAATCTTCAAAGAATCTTTAGGAAATCTTTAAAGAATATTCTAAGAAAATATTTAAGGAATCTTCTGGAAGTTTTTAGAGACTTCTTTCTAGAAGGTTCTAGAAACTTGTCTCTAGAAAGGTCTAAGGACTATGTCCCTAACATCACCTCCTCCTTTAGCTTCGAGGTCTCCGAGAAGCAATGTTATCGTCAGTCAATACCAATGCAAGAAAATGAAGATCTGTCGCATAACCTCTGCTATGAACTCCAATTGTTGTTCACGAGGCAAGTGATTCAATGGTCCTTGAAGCCAACGGTAGTGACCCACGCCTTCAACTTCTGACCAAGCATGAACCTCCATGTCTTCATTGTGAAATTGTCCTGCAAACACTCCTTCTGGCTGACCATTGTAGGCAGGCTCGACCTCAAATACAATCACCAGCGATCTGTTGCTCGGAATCCTTCGACGTCATCGTGGTGCAGGCGGTTCTTCATCTCGCGGTCGTCTTTGTGAGCTAGTTGCTTGAGATGATATGACAAGTGCAGTATCTTGGCTATCCATATTCAAAGGCTAAAACAATAAGAACAAACTTGGGCTACTAACAAAGTTCTACGCTATCTTGGAGAGAATGACTACATCAACTATGGATTTTGGTGGTGCTCTCTTCTCTTTTCTGTTTTCTGGATGAGCAAGCTTCAGTAAGAAGCTATCGTCGAACCGGCTTGGGTTTCTCAAGATATCGTCGATGAAACTCCTGTACCTTTTGCGACGCATTCACGAGATTTTTGGCCGGCTCCTATGTTTGTTCATTAATATCGTAACCGCTCCAATGCACAAAATATTCTAATTTACCCCGTCTTTGCCGTGAATCCAGGACCTTTTCCACCTCGTATTCTTCGTGGTTCTCTATTTCTATGCTAGGTGGTGGACATTGTACTCTTCCAGGAAAAGACGATTCTCGATAAGGCTCCAACAAAGAAACATGAAAGACAGGATGTACCTTCATAGTAGCTGGTAACTCCAGACGATACGCTATAGGATTGATCTGCTTCTGGATAACAAATGGTCCCAATCTTTGATAGTCCAATTTGTCACATGGCCGCTTGGTCTTAATATTTCATCGAAGCAGCCAAACTTTGTCTCCAATCGTGAATTTAGGTGCCTGATTCCGAAATTTGTCCTTGTAAGATTTCTTGGGCAGTTTGCAATTGAAGCTTTAATATAGTTTGAAGCTTCGAAAGCTCCTTCACCAATCCTTCAGCTGCCGGATTGTTAATCGTTGACAAACTCCATAAGTCAAGCTTCGAATGGTATATATAATTGGAAAAGAAAGGCGTTTGTTGAGTTGACGCATGAAGGGTGTTGTTATATGCGAACTCGGCTAGCGGTAGATATGTGACTCAATCATCTTGTTGATAGTTGATGGTGCAACGTAAATATTGCTCTAAAACTTGATTCACCCGTTCTGTTTGGCCGTCCGTTTGAGGATGAAATGCCGAAGAAAGCTTGATATCCACCTTCAATATTTCAAAAAGAGATTTCCAAAACTTTGACACAAACTGGGTTCCTCGATCCGATACGATATCATGTGGTAGACCATGATATCGATACACATTATCAAGAAAGAGTCTTGCTGTGTCTTCGCTTGACGATGTCTTCTTGCAAGGGACAAAATGCGCCATCTTTGTAAGCCGGTCTACGACAACAAAAATATTGTCAAATGAATTCGATGGAGGTAGATCCGTAATAAAGTCCATGGAAACCAAAGACCATGGTCTGCGTGGAATAGGCAATGGCTGTAGAAGTCCATAAGGCCGATGTCGAGGGTTTTTGGATCTTGAACAAATGTCACAAGATACAACAAAATCTTTCACATCCTTCCACATTTGAGGCCACCAAAAATCACGAGAAATAAGTTCCAAGGTCTTATTGAATCCAAAATGTCCCGCAGCTGGAAAGTCATGACGAGATTGAAGAACTCGGAGTCGTGCTGGCCCTTTTGGGATATACAACCGCTCTTCGAAATATACTAGATCTCCTTCCATCTTAAATTTATCATCACTAGCATGTTACTTGATATCAAGGGCTAGAGAATCTTCAATGGTTGCGATCCATACCTGGTCGAGGAAGTCTGCATCAATTGGTACAATAGCTGCGTTGAGCCGAAATTTCTCTGGCTTCAACAATGTCATGCATTGTTGATCAAATGCTGCATCTCTAGCCTTTGGCGCGAGATATGATCTCCTTGATAATGCATCGGACAACCCTTGTTGCTTCCCAGGCCGATAAGTAATAACAAAGTCGAACCTGGATAGCGACATACTCTACCGAGCTTAACGCCAATTCAAAACCCGAGCCGACATAAAATACTCCAAATTCTTGTGATGCGTATATACGGTCACTGGATGTACAGTTCTTTCGAGAAAGTAGCGCCACTCTTGGAAAGAAACTACTATAGCAAGGAGTTCTTTATCGTGGATCTCATAGTTGATCTCAGCAGCAGAGAATTTTCGAGAATAGAACGCAACTGGATGGAGCTTCTCATCTACGCCCATCTGTGAAAGTACAGCTCCCAAAGCAAAATCCGAAGCATCTGTCTCCAAATAAAAGGCCTTTGTAAAGTCTGGATGTACCAAGATTGGAGCTGTAGTAAATACCATCTTCAAATCTTGAAATGCTTTTTCTGCGATAGGTCCCCATTCGAGCTTGTCCTTGCACGTTAACCGAGTGAGGGGGGCAGCAACTTGAGAATAATTCTTAATGAAGATCCGATAGTAGTTAGCAAATCCAAGAAAACATTGTACGTCCCTAACCGTCTTCGGAACTTTCCAAGACATGATTGCTTCCACCTTCTTTCGATCCATCTTCAAGCCTTCCGTAGTCGCGATGAATCCCAAAAACTCCATCTCAGTTTGGTGAAATAAGCACTTCTCCGATTTGGCATAGAGTCCTCGCTCCCGTAGTTTTTTGAGTACCAGACGAACGTGCTTCTCATGTTCTTCCTCGTTCTTAGAAAATATCAAAATATCATCTAGATAGATGACAACAAAATCGTCTAGATGCTCTCGAAAGATGTCATTCATCATGTGTTGAAAGACCACTGGAACATTAGTAAGACCAAATGGCATGACATTGTATTCAAAATGGCCATACCTTGTTCGGAAAGCTGTCTTCCATTCATCTCCTTCCTTGATTCGCACAAGGTTGTAAGCTCCCCTTAGGTCAATCTTTGTAAAGATCCTTGCACGCCCAAGTTGTTTTAGAAGACCAGAGATCAAAGGCAGTGGGTAGCGATTCTTTTTTGTTACCTTGTTGAGACCTCGATAGTCCACGCACATCCGTAGTGAGCCATCCTTCTTCTTCACAAATAAGATTGGTGCCCCAGTTGGCGACTTCGAATGACGGATGAAGTTCTTGGCTAGATTCTCGTCAATGTACTTCCGCAACTCAGTCAACTCCGTCTGTGACAAATTGTAGATTGGTCCAAAAGGTGGTTGTGCTCCTTCTTGCAATTCAATGGCACAGTCATAGGGTCGATGCTCTAGCAGCATATCAGCATTCTTCTTTTCAAAGACATCTTTGAATTCTTCATACTGCTTTGGAATAACCAAAGTCGGAGTTGCATCTTCTCGAGTCGGAGTTGCGAAGATGACAAGAGGTGTATTTTGCTTGGCTTCTTTCATGAAAGCCCTTGCACCTATAAACAAGGATTTGTTTTTAGACATTGTCTTGGCAGATTCCACCTTCAAGGAGTTTGTTGGAAATGTCACTTTCCGCAACTTCCAATCTATCAATAGATTATATCTATCAAGCCAAGATAGTCCCAAAATGATAGGACATGAAAGGGTCTTGATAACATTAAACACAATATTGCTCTCATGGTTTTCAAGACGTACCTTCAATGGTTTAGTTTCATGGATAATATTGCCCGAAGACAATGGTCGTCCGTCTATGACTTCTACATGGACAGGCTTAAGTTTCTTTACAAGAAAAATATTGTGAAGCTTGGCAAACTCTTCATCTATAAAGCAAGCGGATGCACCCGAGTCTAATAAAGCATCGACTTGTAGTTCTTGAATATCCAGATGTAAAGGTACCATAAAACAATTTGAAGGTTGAGCTGAGAGAAAGGGACCTTGATTAATTTTGGATGTTGAGATGTCCAGCCGCACGGTCCCTATTGTGGCTGGACGTCCTTGTTTTCTTGCATGCTTGTACTCCTGAGTCTTGTTGTTTGAGGCTTCTGTTTCTTCCGACAATCTACAGCTTTATGGCCCGCTTCTCCGCAATATAAACAAAAGTTTTGTTCAAACCGTCGCTTCCTTTCCTCAGCTGTGAGGGATTTGAAACGTACCACATCAATTTGCATGGGTTCAGGATCTGTGGAGTGATTCTCTGGACCTTTTGAAAATGTAGCAAATGCTCCATCATTTCTCCAGCCTGATCGTCTTTCTTGTCGTAATTCAAAGAGGCGGTTGTCACAAATAATTGCCTGAGATATAAGTTCTTCTAAAGTATCCGCCTTAGGCATGGTGATCAATAAGTTCTTGACATCATCTCTCAGTCCATATCGAAATCGTGTCATGAACGCCTTATCATTCCAATCAAGATCACATGTAAGCTGTTGAAATTCTGCAGCATAGATTGCAGCAGAACGTGATCCTTGTCGCAGATTTTGTATCTTTCTTTCAGCCACTCTTTCTCGATCGCTATCTCCAAACGCAGCAGTAAGTGTCTCTATGAAAGCCTCTTGGTCGTACAATATTGGAGAATCCTTCTCTAATAGTGGAGCAAACCAAGAGCGAGCATTTCCTGATAGAAGAGTACCTATGAAAGCAACCTGGGTAAATCCATTCGGATAACGAGAAGGATATAGGCGTAGATAAAGCCGTACTTGTTGCACAAAACCTCGGAAGTTGGCTCTTGTTCCGTCAAACTTGTCTGGCATACTCGCTTTTGGTTCTTTCGTACTAATCCTTGAAGTATCTATAGGGGTCGTATGTGACACATGTCTTGCTTCTCTCAGTCGAATAATCTCTTGTTGTAGGCTATGAATTTTGCGTCTAGCTTCTTCAGTCACTAGATCAATTTGAGGTTCTTTACTTGGATTGCGAAGAAATACAATCTCGTTTCATACACTATTCATAAGGGCTTGAAGATCTGCAAGAGTTGCCACTCTATTGTCTACTTGTGGAGATGCACTGTCTATGACCTGGTCTACTTCCATATTTAGAGAATAGATGGATTAAAATTTTGAGAGAAGAAGAAATTGCTAAGTCTCTTGGAAAAAATTGTAGCACTACTTGTCACTAAAACCTACTCGGAGAAAAGGAAAAAAAAACACTAAACAATTTCAGTTTTAGAGGAGGGTAATCCGCAACCTCTAAAAATGCCTCAATGCTTTCGAGAAGAGGGGTAATCCGCACTCTATCAAGAAGGCAAAGCTCTGAAATCGATGTTAACAGTCTTTTCTACTAGCTATGCTAAACAAAAAGAAGGAATTAATATCAGTTCCAAGAGAGGGTAATCCGCAACCTTTAGAACGCTCAAGTATCTCCAAGGAAAGGAGTAGTCCACTCTCTGCCTCAAAGAACTAAGCTCTGATATTGTGATTGAGAAAATATCAGTTTAGAGGAAGGTAATCCGCAACCCCTAAAGCGCTAGAATATCTTCAAGAAGAGGGGTAATCCGCTCTCAAACAAGAAGGATTTAGCTCTGATATTAAGATAAAGGTAGTCTCGACAAACTGTCACGGACCAAAAATACAAACAAGAAATCTAAACAAGAAGTTCAAAAAGAAATGACAAGAACTAGATTATCAGATGAATATAAGAGCAACGCCAAGAGAATTGAGCTAGAGCTTCAAGAGATGCGTTGTCGAGACTGAAGAACTCTTCAACCTCGACTCCTACATATACTACTGGCCTATGGTTCTAAGGAAGCGCATCAAGAAGCTTCCCAAGAACTATGAAGCTTCTCGAGCAACTACCCAAGAGCTAAGAAGCTTCTCAAGTAACTTCCTAGAATCTACTAGAATATTCTAAGAATCTTTTAGAGCCTTCTAAGGGAATCTTTAGGGAATCTTCAAAGAATCTTTAGGAAATCTTTGAAGAATATTCTAAAAGAATATTCAAGGAATCTTTTGGAAGTTTCTAGAGACTTCTTTCTAGAAGATTCTAGAAACTTGTCTCTAAAAAGGTCTAAGGACTATGTCCCTAATAGGTTTAGTTGGATGAAAGTAAGATGAATGCTAGCCAAAATGGATGTAAATTCTACCTATAAGTAAAGAATGTTGGAATTGAAAGGCATCTCATTCCACACTTCTCTTGTGTCTAACCTTGTTGTTTTCTACTTACTTGTGTCTTGCTTGTTGTGTTTCTTAAATAGAACCTCGTTGGCATTGGTCAAGAGTAGGGTTTTTGGTGCGCCAGTCACCATTGCCACTCCTTGCATGCCCTAGTTTTCTGCTAGAAGGTTTGCAGTCAGAGCATCTAAGAGTGAGGAGACCAATGGCACCTGGAGCCATCCCCTGGAGCTGGCTTTCGTTGCTAGCACTGCTAAGATCGCCCCAGCCAATGCTGCCTACTGAGAGAGCGGTGAGTAATAATTTCGATGATGGATTCGATTCTATTAGGAAGACCGTGAAGAACTTTGACTTTGTGTTGCTTTGATATCTTGTTAGTTTTGATTTGGAGAAGAGGATATTTGAAAAGATGAAGCCACAGTGGGTATGTGAGTTCTCACAGCAAGAAAGTCCTGATTAGTGCGTGCTTTACAATGATTCTGTTATGGTGCTTTCATGCTGAGTATTGTTGTGAAACCGATGCTGGCAGCCAATGTGTTTGGTGCTCCTAAAAAGACTACTGGATTCACCTCTTTCACCGACAATGGCTTCTCTATGGATGTTCGCTCTAAGTGGAATCCAAGCAAGGAGAAGGAGTTCCCCGAAATAGTCATTAGATACAAGGACAACTTCGATGCCACGAACAACTTGTTCGTGTCAATCTCCCCAACCACCAAAAGCACCATCTCTGATTACAGGGCGCCCGAGAAGTTCTTCGACCAGGTAGGACGTGATGTCAAACCGTCTCTAATTTGACCAAATGTTTTCAAATTCTGCTGCTTCTTAACTGCCATGCAAAGACACACTTATGAATGTGTCGAGCATTGTACTCCTGCGATGATCATGAGATTGATGCTGGTGTGACCGTGCAGGTCTCATATCTTTTTGAAAAGCAAGCCTACGATGGAAAAATTCCTTCTGAGGGTGGTTTCATGGACAACGCTGTGGCCACAGCAGCAATGCTGGAGGCCAACTCAGAGGATGTCAACGGCAGGCCCAACTACAAGCTCAGCGTGTTCACTCGTACTGCTGACGGAGACGAGGGAGGCAAGCATCAGCTGATCGCTGCCACTGTGAAAGACGACAACTTGTACTTGTTCAAGGCTCAAGCTGGCCACAAGAGATGGTTCAAGGGCATGAAGAAGTTTGTTGAGGGAGCATGGAACTCATTTAACGTGGCTTAGAATTGTACACACCTGTGCCACCTTTGTATCATGACCCACATTGTCAAATGTACCATAACAGCATTACACCTGAGCACTCGTGAATCTCTTTGGACACTTGCTGATCTCTGAACCCATTATTGCTTTTTCGTGTTATCATGTTGTTGTTTTTGGTTTTTTGTTTTTTTGATGCCTGTGTTCCCTATGAGAAATCGTAGTTTCAATGTGGACGTTTTTTTGAAGAGACACCACTTCTTTTTTTTTTTTTTCTTCTTTTTTTTTTTTTTTTTTTTTTTTTTGTCTCTCGACATGAGATACATCGGATTCGACAGCACTCGGCACTTGTTTGCAGTTTGTCAGGTGCAAATGGTGTGAGAGATGGTGAATTATTAATTATTGTAGATAGAGCATTTTGCAATTGAGATAGATGCTTTTAAGTAAATCATCATAGAAGAAAAAATAAAAAACACGGTATTGATTTTTCTTTAAATACAAAAAGAAATAGTTATTTAGAAATATTATTAAATATTGTATGCAACCTGCAACCAACACATAATATTTTTACATCAATCAAATGTTGTAAAATCGAAAAACTTTGATAAATGAAAGAAAATAGTAATGAGAATACATGAAAAAACTGTTAAAAAAACATCAAAAACTTCTATGAGAATTTGAATGAAATGAAAGTAAGTTAATCCACTAACAATCTTCTACTATACTAGGCATGAAGGTAGATATACAAGTATAATCAATTTCTATCTAAATCAAGAGTTTTGACAAGCTTTAAAATTCTCAATACACTCAATTAAATTTTTAGTCAAAGGGTGATGAAAAAAGCCTAAGAATATTTATAGAGATTTTTAATAAAACTTTTTGAAGGAAGTTACAATGTCTCAAAGTAATGTGGCATGATTTAGAAAATCAATACCTACAAAATATTTATAACAATACCACTATCAAGATTTCAGCCTAGAACTTTATTGTTAACAAAATACAACTTTTTATCAAAAGAAAAAGTTTTATCTCTCATGTTATTATATGTTTATTGCTCTTAAGCTTAAAAGGGACAAGTAGGCAATGTGTAGAGGCCAATTTTTTTACTTAGACTCAATCTCCATTGCAAATACTAATCTATTATAGAATATTTATATATAGGTCAAATTTGAAGGTTCTTTTGTAGAAATCCAAAAGTTAGAACTATATTGTTATTCAATGTGAAAATATCAAGGACTTGAATCCAAACAAAACTTAAATGACAATACACATATATATCATTGAAGAAGAGAAAAAGCAATGAGAAAATAAATAGACATAAGATTCAAAAAAAAGAACTAGAATGACTATTGCCAAATACAAATAAGCTAGAGAGTTTTGAATAAAGGTATAATGTAAAAAAGGTGTTGACAAGATTGAGGATGGCCTCACTCTTATATCCATATATACTAGTTACCAAGAAGGCCTTGTTAAAGTTTCCTTAGTACTGTAAGACTTGTAGCCCAAGTATCAAGTTGCATGTTGTTTTTCAACAAATCTTCACATAAATAAGAAACTTGTGGATAAGTTTTAAAAACCATATGGCATATCCATAAGAATCTGAAGATCTGATTTACATCTAAAAAACCTCCTTGAGGTTTTAGTAAAGAGATTATTCTCTACTTGAACTAATCTATCTATTTCAGTTTATTTCTATTTATTTTAATGTTACAGGCAATTTTTACAAAAAAAAAATGTATAGAATTTATTTACAATATAAATACAATAAGTATTAATATTAAAAATCACTGCAAAAATTATTTTATTAGAATATTAAAATCTAATATTTAAAAGTGCAAATTAATATATTTCCCACTTTTATCCAACTACCTGTCCACGTCAGCCACACAGGGGTTGCCAACCAACCTTTTGTCCAGGTCAGCAACCTCAGGATCGCGATCCAAGCACACCACATGCGTTCCCACCGCCGTCTCCGATCTAGTTTGAAATGGAAACGCAAAAGTAACTTTAAAGTATAATTCAAACGGGAAAAGTTCAACGATGTAGAAGGGGCTCTTCGTCGTCTCCGTCGAGGTGTGAGCAAAATTTGACGGAGGCCAGCTCCATTAGGGATCTCAGTGAAGCTGCGGAGGAGTGGCCCGATCTCAACGCGACGTTGCTTGGAGTCTCGCAATCGTGATTGATCGCAACGTTAATCCTGTCTCGGAGGAGCTGCTGTGGTGATCTCGGCCCTGATTTGATCCCCAATTCATTTGTTATCGCTAGTGTTGTGGTGCTGTGAGCCATGGAGGCGCAACAGCAGCAGCAGCAGCAGGGCGGGGGACCTCGTGCAACGCTGCTGGAGGCTCTGCAGGCGCTGTATCATCACCCCGACCCTTCCATTCGCAACAATGCCAACCAATGGCTCGATGATTTTCAGCACACTTTTGATGCATGGCAGGTAGGGAATACTGCCTTTTGAGCACATTAGGGTTTAAGATTGGTGGAAGGTTTTTGAAAACGCGATTTCGGGGCGCACGTCGCCTTGGTTCACCTTCAGACGTGGAATGTCGTGGAGATTTTGAGGATCGATTTTGAGGTTTTTTGTTCGTGGCGTGTGCAGATTTCGGACAGTTTGCTTCATGATCAGAGTAGCAGCCTCGAGGCACTGTACTTTGCGGCTCAGACTATTCGAACTAAGGTTTCATTTTCGTCCTCATTCCGGATATTTAGGCAATCTAGCATTCTGTTTTATTGAAGTGTCTTTGTTGCGTTATACTGTACGTAATTAGCGTGGATTTACTGAGCGACCCGAGAGTTGAGGCACCTGCGGGATCGTTATCTTGAACCGAGTAGAGTGGTGGCGATGACTGCTTTAAGACAATTCGAGCTGATTGATCCGATCCGGTTAATGCTGGCACCAATGACAGGTGCAAAGGGATTTTGAAGACTTGCCAGCTTCTGCACCAACTTCACTTCGTGCTTCTCTAATGGTGAGTATTTGAGTTGCTATGGATTACAGGTACTGAGGTTTTGTCGATGAGTTTCAGCTGTACCGTATCCACTTACCGTTCAAATCACGGCGTGTGTCAGAAAGGCGTTATCACTGTTATTGATATATACTTCGGACTTACTGTGGTGGGATGGAGAAGAGCTAGAGAATCGATTTTTCTTAACGACCACAAATTTCATCGAAAGTTTTTTTTAATTCTATTTTTGAATGGTCTTTTGATATTACATGTTTCATCCGCTATCATAATGTTATGGAATTAACCACAGACAAATCACACAAGTTTTTTTTTTTTTTTTTTTTTTTTTTTTTTTTTTTTTTTCTCAATTCGCTAGTGGCCTGGTTATTTTAGAAATTGTATTCCACCGCGCACAGTTGATAATGGTTCCTCTAAAGATCTTTACTTCATCATGAAACTCAAACTTCCAAATACTTGGAGAAAAAAAATATTCTCTGAGCATGCTGTGTTTCAAGTTTCGTTAGGTTGTAGATGCAAATGGACCCCTAGTTCTATGAAACAATACAAAGGGGTTTCACTCATTGGCTAGTTTCTTTCGTATTCAGATGGTTGATTTGAGCACCACATCTTTCCCATTTTTGGCCCCTGCATTGGAAGTTGGTCTACATCTTTGGGCAGAATTTATCTTTGAATTGCGCATTTTGACCACGATTCCCAACTAATCACTTGACCAGGCAACCACTTAGCTATTTTGTAATTTTTTCGATTCGGAAGTTTGGATGCCTCCTTTATGTGTATAAGCTCATGTTGGACGTCTACAGGATTGTCTCTGGGCCCTGGATTTTCTTCGTTGGACCACATTCACATGGCGGGTGCATATCTACTTATTTGTTATCAATTGGATACGATAAAGTCTCACAAGTTGTTCCTTTTAACTTTTGTTTACAGGCGCTGCTAATGAAATTTAGACAAGGACCAGCTGCCGTCAGAACTCAGGTATTGAAGGCAATGTTAGTATAATTGGTATCAAATGTTATCTATCAAACAACGTAGTTGAAGTAGTACGAAAAATGTTTTCAACAAAAGACATTATACTTTTGCAGTTTTAAAATTTGCTTCTATCTGATTTTGCCACAATTTTGTGCTTAATTGAACTCTTATGACGAACACCACTAGATACTTAGAGCCTCTTCTGACATGTCTACTTGATTTCCAGCTGTGTCTTGCAATGGCAGCTCTCGCCGTGCAAATGCCCCCAGAAGAGTGGGGTCATGCAGGAGTAATACATTGGCTTGGCCAGGAGCTGGGATCTCAGTCTGAGGCTATTCCCGTCCTCCTCGAGTTGTTAGCTGTTTTCCCTCAGGTTTCTGATTTTTCATAATTTTCTGATTTGGTAGAACGATACATGACTTGTAGCTTGGTCATATGAATTGCGTCACTTAGTGATTTGCTTTAAGTTGGGTCTTGACATGTTTGGGATTTGAGGATGCATGCTGTTGGTGAGTTATTTCAGCTTGTGAGAGTCATCTTCCGTAGACGAGTTGTACAGAGAAGCAGAGCGGAGTGCACATCGAATGCAAATAGGGACTGCAGTTGTGGTTTTCTTGCGACTCTCAGTTTGACCATTCTATTTCTCAAGATCTGTCGTGCTGGACCTAGTTTCAAAGTAGGGTTTTGATATTCATTTGTATGACAGAGTGCTTGTTGAGAGCTTTCTGGTTTTGGACTTAGTCTGTGCTATGTTTTGGTTGTACTTAATCGCAGTTTCCCCTTGCTAGCTGTACAAGCCTGTAGTGTTGGTGGATAAGTATTGATTATTAACTCGTGCATTGTGAGGATGTTATACGCTTTATTCAGTACGCAAATACCTTGTGCTATATGTCGTACTTAGTCAGTTGATTTATCTTTTTATTCATGGCTGGATGTTGCGGACTTCTATCTAGTACAAAGTCGCGCCCCCTTTGACTAGCGAGGGGGCTCCAGGAAACTTGTTTAGTTCAGGAATAATTTTACAAAACGTAGTCACGCGTAAATTTTTTTTGGCGATCTTTGCGGGCTGCTTCTCTTACTTGTCTATCGAATTATCATGAACCGATTGGTGTCTCAATTCCCAAGTTATGGATTGTTCTTGTACTATTATGTTTTGATTAAAAATGAAATAAACATCTTTATACAATTAATTTGTTATCGTTATTTTTTCTCAAATGATAGTGTTCTTTCTTATCTTGATCTGTGATAGTTGAGTTGTTACTTATGACTGATTGTAGCAGCTGGGGTTCTTTTCTTCAGGAAGCAAACAGCTACAAAATTGCAGTACGACCAGAGAGGCGCAGACAATTCCATCGTGAAATGGCTTCTTCTGTGCAGTATGCGTTTGACTTGCTTAGCTCTTGCTTACGTGATGGTTCTATTCAAGTTCGGGAGCAGGTGAGACAGTTGTTTCAAAAATATTTGTACTCCGGTTGCATGTGGGACATTTCTGACAGGAATGTTCACTTGATCCACAGGTGGTCTGAAGTGATTAAATACAATTGTACTCGTTAGTTTTTGGGGTATTGCTTATTTTGGGTGTGTATGTGGACTTTCGTTGGCAGGTACTTCGAGCATTTGCAGCATGGATGCGATTCAGCTTTGGGTGGGTTAGAATACTGCATGTTGTTTTTGCTCAATGTAGTAATCGATAGTCATGAAATGTGCAAGAATAAATTTTCTTAGCTATGCCGTAAATTAATGCAGAAGTTGATATACTTCAGAGTTTGGTTTTCTGTATCTTCTCTATCATCTCTATCTTCTGTTATTATAGGCCGCTCACGATGCATGTGCATTTGTGTTTGTAAATCTCATGGAACCGACTAAAACATTCTGCCGCGAGTCCTTATCCTGAGTTTGTTGCCAAATTGCAGGATCAGTGCGACTACCCTCGCCTCCCATCCTTTGGTGGCAGCCTCACTTGCGGGACTAAATTCTGAAGAGACATTTGATGCTGCAGTGGATGGTACGCAGCCCTTGTGAGTCCACCCTACCTGCTTGTATAATGTTCGTGTGCAGGTGTAGATACTGACTCTATCATCGTTAAGTGGCTTGGTCAGCGAACGTCAGTATTATGAGTTAACTAGTCGGAACCTAGAATTAACGAACATTAACATTCGTAAGGGCCAAGTTATGCTACACGTACTCTTTTCTTAAAGTTGCAATCTGAACGCTGTTACCGTTGGGTTGGCTGTTTCATCTGTCAACAATCAACGCTCTAGAAGTTTTGCTAGATATGATTTAAGGATGCACTGTAATGTATTTTGAAACTGGATTGGTGCAGCCGTGACAGAGCTAATTCGCTTCACTGTGAGTGGGAGTCCTGTCGATTTGTCTATCCATATGCCTCTAGTGGTAGTATTGGTTCCTCAGATTATGGCTTTGCAGCCTCGATTTGCTGCAACTGTTAAGGTATGTCATTGCTATTTTTCAAATGTGGATTTTAAAGTGTAAAGTTGTTATTACATCATGTTATCTATTAATTTATCTCACAGTCGACCCTACTAATTTTCCTTCATGGAAGTGTTGAATCGGTTGACGGAAAAAAATTGAAATCAGCTGTCTTCTGTTTTCCCGAAGCCCGAACAGTTACGAATATTAAAGTTGAATAGAATGTCTGGATTATGTTCAGGCTGCGTACGCTGAAAAGCAAGCTCAACAAGGGGTTAATGTCGACCCAAGTCAGCAAGGAGAAGAAGAGGTGCGTTCATACTAGAAATGTACTCGTGTTGCTCTTTCTGTGGACTGAGAAAATTCTACGTGCACATAATCTTGAGCTCATGCTCGGTTTTGTATTATACTGGAATAGTTCACGTTTGGCATTTCCTGAGTATTACAATTTTAATTAGTGTATGTCTGTATGTTGACCAGTTTTAGTATACAAAAAGGATGTTTTTTTTCATGTTTACTGTATTCAATAAGAAAAATATATCTGGGAAAGCTACAGTGTCTAATATAAAGGTGAAGTCTTGATTTTGAGATTCAAAAGAAACCATTTTGTGATGTCTTTTGATTCCTGATTTCACGGTGTTGAGCTCAAGTGTCATTCCACCACCTCTTGTTAAGCAGGACGAAGAAGTTACGAAGGGCATGGCTTACTTATTTGCGGAAATCGGTGAATCATATGTTGATTTGATTGCCAGCGGTATGTAGTATCCACTGTATCGGGTTGTGTTTGGTAGAGATGGATTTTTTTGAAGAGTGTAACTCATGTTTGTAAGCATGTCAGTGGCGTTTTTTAGAGTAGAGACGCCATAGTTAGAAACTTCATGCTTTAATTCTTAGTTTTTGTAGTGTAAATATTTCCGGGATAATGTATTGATAGTTACTAATCAAAGGACTTGTTGGGAACAGGGTCTTCCGAATCCCTCATGATTGTCGAAGCACTAGCGGAGGTCACATCACATCCTGATGACAATATCGCTGCTATAACGTTCAACTTTTGGCATCGTTTGAGCCTTGCGCTTACAACTAGGTCTGTCTCATACTTTTATTGGCTGTGCTTACTCTGGTTACCAAGAAATCTCATTGCATGTGTTCATATCATCTGTTGCTTTAACTTCATTGGTCATCATATTGTCTAGTCATTTTTTTAGGTGAATTCCTCTACATACGTTCACAAATTTACTTCCGGTCTATTCTTCTTTGGGGTAGATCGGAGCTTCATGGATCAGCTGAAGGAGAGGCTGCTATTGATGTAGAAAGGGAACGAAGGCTGGCAACCTTCCGCCCAACGTTTGAGCTTCTAGTGTCTTTGGTAAGCACGAATTTCTTTGTACTAGTATTTCATGAACAATTTCATATTATAGAATGCTAAAAAGATGAAGATTTCTTTGCTGACCTGTGGAAGTGAAACATGGCAATTTATTTTTGCGATTACAGGTTAGTTGTCGTGTTACGTATCCTCCAGGATTTGAAACCTGGAGGAAAGATGAACTCGCTGATTTCAAGTCCACCAGATATGGTAAGATCTCACTGTGGAGGGCATTCTTGAACCTCATTATCTTTGTTGCACACAACTAGTTCTATTTAAGCACAACTTAAGGTTCTTGTTTTTGTGTGTTTTAGGAGTGGTGCAACAACCAGGAAGCTTGGCTATAGTATTTGGTGCATTGCAGTCTGTCTTTCTGCGCATCTGTTCGTATGTTTTATTCATATCCTTGATCGTTTAACTATATATTTGATTGCTTGGAACCTTTTATTTGTGGAAAACGCACTTTCGTATCGAGTTATATTAATACCTGTAGATGTATGTAATTCAGCTGTAGCAGATATGCTCATGGATGCGGCTGCTGTTCTTGGAGGTCAAGAAACTCTGAGGCTTCTTGCCCAGCCTCTGCTGCAGGTGAACCTTTCATGCTCATTTTCCTAATTTAGATATTTGTAATGTTTATGATGATAGCTGTAAATAAATCCATTCAAATGTTTTCATTGAGTTTTCCTTTGGTTGGACTTTTTTCAGCTCGCTGCAAGCGCCAGAGGTGGAGGTTCTTGGGACTGGCGTGCAGCAGAGGCTTCGCTTTACTGCATTCGTGCTATTGGGAAAGCAGTTCCGGCTCGAGAAGATGCTTACATGCCTCAGGTAATCGTTGTTGCAAGAATCGAATATCCAGCTTAAGGATTGTTAGATTGCCAAGCATGACTGATGCCATATTACGTTGTGTTATTGATATAGATCTTTGAATTGTAAATCGTATTGTATTTTCACGTGAAATGGAATTTGGATTTGATATTTGAAATTCAATTTGTTAGGTCTTGGCGCTTTTATCCCAGCTGCCTTCACAACCTCAGCTCATCTATACCTGTAAGTTGGGATTTTGGTTTCCCCCTAGATGAATTTGGGGTTGTTAAATTTTTAGGTGTGATTTTTAGTTCTAAATGCCGGCTTGATGACTTTAGTCACTGCACATGCGTTATTTTCATTTCACCTCTGAGCTTTTGATGCAGCTGACTGCATTATTTGAGATGATATTGTTTTTGTAAGTTTAAGTTTTTGTAATTTTCTATCTCATGATGTTGATGTCGATGGTGGATTGTGGATGCAGCATCGTTGACTATAGCAGCCTATGCGGATTGGCTAGGTGGCTCACCAAATGCACCTACTCTTTTGCCATCTCTTTTGCAACTACTTACCAGTGCTTTGTCAGCACCTGAAGATGCTTGTGCTGCCGCTGCATTAGCTTTGAAGCATGTTTGCGATGGTCAGTTCCTTGTTTTTCCAAACCGTTCAATCCATTTCTTTTGCTTCCTTAGAGGGTTGATTGATATTGCAGCTGCTGGTACTTTACATTAATGTGATGGGTTATCAAATATAGCATTAGCCGCCTTCTTTTTTTCCTCTCAATATTGAATTAGCCAATTTCCTTCTTTGGTGATCTTCATCGAAATGTCAAAATATTTAAATGACTGCTGGTTTGACTGAAGCCTTTTTCGAACTTGTTCAGCATGCAGAAAGTTATTAGCAGGTTCAGCGGATGCTCTTCTCAATGTCTACCAGCAAGTAATGAGTGGAAAGAGTAATTTCAACTTGTCTTCAGACGATGAACTTCAGTTGATTGAGGGCATGAGGTACATGGGTATTGAGGGCATGAGCTATACATGCTATGAGAGATTTATTGAAAATACGCTCTGTACTCGGTGATTTTAGAAGCTTTTCCCCCCGTTATTTGGTATATTGTGGAAGTGCTTCAGTCGTGTGGACTCAGTTCGTATTGCATGTCCAGTGCATTTTCTTTCTCGTAGTAAGTATCCGTGCAGTTTTAAAAAGCATATATGTGGATACCCGGTTGAGTGCTTTGTAAGGATATACGTATTAAAGTTATTTCATATGATGGCATTTTCATGTTCTTTCTCATATTGTGCAAAACTGATTTTATCGTTGTTTCTCCTCAGTTTGATGGTCAGTGCGCTGCCACCAGATCGACTTGGGTCTGCGCTAGATGCTCTCTGCATCCCGATTCTCGCACCTTTACAGGTGTGGATCATCCTTAAGAGCACATTGTTGCAAACTCTTGCTCATATGCATTTGTTCTGGATCTCTTTTCTTTTAAAGACTTCTTCATGGGAAATCTGATTTTATTTTGAATGTTTTGACAGCAAGTGGTTACAGCAGCACAACAAGCAGGATCTTCACAGCAGTTTACTTCAAACCAGTATACTGTACATATTGATCGGATAACTAACATTTTCAGGTTCGTGGGAGTGAATTTCTGCGTCCATTGTGAGATAATAAAGCTTGAGTATTCAGATGTCTGCATTTGTCTGAAATGATATATGTTGATGTCTCGGTTTTTTAGTGCTGTTCTTTTTTCCTTCGAGCTCATCAGGTTTGCTACTGTGGTTTAATTTGATATTGCAGATATGGCAGTGAGCCTGACCATTTGGCAGATGTTTTCCAACGAATGTGGCCAATTTTGAAGGCTGTTTTCACGCAGTGAGTGCTTTGTAACCCATGGGTATTCTTGTTGCCATATGTTCATGTTTGTCGAGCACTCTCCAGTGCCCTTGTACAGATTCTTTTTAGGTGTTTCTTTATTAAGAACTATTTGATATGAACAAACAAACTGATGGCTTTATCTACCTCCTTTTCAGACGGGCATCTGATATGAGGACCATGGAGAAGTTATGTCGGGCCTGCAAATATGCTGTAAGCTTCTTCTTTTCGTCTTCTTGTGTGTGTTTGTGTTCATCTTAAAAGGCCCCCAATGGTGCCACTGCTTATGATTGCTTGTTACTTATTGGTGATTCCTCTTTATGAAATGTTAACCTCATCAACGCAAAACATAACTTGGGTAGGTACGCAACTGCGGAAGTGCCCTTGGAAGTGTAATGGGCTCAATGCTAGAGGAGGTGCAAGAGCGTTATCAACAGCACCATCATTCATGTCTCTTGTATCTTGCTAGTGAAGTCATTAAGGTGATCCTTCATTTTCTCAATGATTAGGAAATTGTATTGCGATGTCATCTCCTCAATATCTGCTGTGAAGTATCATACCTACTTCAGTTTTGCATTTACCTGTGTGATGCCATCACCTTGTAGGCTTTACTAACATCTAGTGCTTTCTTGACATGATCTGAATGGTTTCTGATCATCATAATCTGGCTTTACTGGATACTGCAGGTATTTGGTAGCGACAATGCTTGTGCAGGATATCTAGGTACTCTGATATCAGTTCTTTTTGGACAATCGATATCGATGTTGACAACTATTAAGGTAATAATTTCAGAGTCCTCCTGGTTTGACTTATTTAGTGCTATATTTCTGGACACTCTTTGACTGTTTTAGATGTCAAGTGTTGGTTGCATCTTAGTTTAGGGTCGATTGCTATTGGAACATTAACTATTTTTGCACGTGTGCGTACAGGACTTTACTGCGCTACCTGATGTTGCTGATGACTGCTTCTTATTAGCATCGCGTTGCATACGTTACTGTCCACACTTGCTAGTAACTACCACCATGTTACCACCATTGGTAGACTGTGCCATGACTGGCATAACTATTCAACACAGGTACTTTTATTGGCTATTAAGTTATTTGATGTTTATAGTTATCTGTGGCAACATTCTTCTCCACTTTTGTGTGTAAGAGATGTCGTGAATATTTGCACTTTGACATCGCTACAACTTGTAAATTGAATCAATCAGTCTTTAGGATTAGTTTTTGTCTATCAGAAATGAATTTCGACTAGGGTTTTTGTGTGTTGCTATTGATTTGGCCTATATGTGCAGGGAGGCATGTCGTTCAATTTTGACCTTTTTCCAAGATATCTTGGATGTACCCACAACTTTCACAGGAAAGCATTACGGAGGAGCTGTTGATGCAGTTTTCCTTCCTCGTGGTGCAACTTTGACGAGAATTTTATTGGCTGCTTCTGCCGGGGCTCTACCAGAATCACGACTTTCCGAGGTTAGATCCGTTCCATGACCTATTGACGTGCCATTACTTTTATTTCTCTACATGTGTTCACTTCCGTCGATACTTTAGGAAGGTTTTTACAACTCATGCCCCACGGTTTTGTGGTCTAGTGTTCGAACCCATGGAATTGGCTTTTGGTCATCCGTGCAAAGCTTCTCCTAATGCACGCTCTTTCCCAAACATTGAAACATTTTTTGAGTGAACTCTTCGCAGGTTGGACATGTGTTGATGGCATTGGCACGCCTTTATAATTTCCAAGTGGTGCAGTGGGCACAAGAAGCGGCTGCTCTGATTCCCTCGAATGTAGTGACAGAGGGAGAGCGCATGAACCTCCTACAGGCTATTCAATCCGCAGCCTCAGGATCAGATTCCAATTCCTTAATAACCTCCTTGGAGGAGTTCTCTGAGGTCTGTCGTCGCAACAAAAAAGTCCAGGAGGCCGTCCAAAGTGTTCTGTAGCCGTCGCGCGTCTCGGTGGCTCCTGTGAATTAGAACCTTTCCAAAGCTGTTACCATATTTATTAGCATGTCGTATGTTGTAGACGTCGAGGAGGGAGATTTAACTTTCCACTCGGTGGATTTCAGAACTTTTTATTAAAGTTCAGTGCAGTTAAGCATTCAAATTTATACGCGGTGGGTTATTTGTCGGTGGCGACTATTTTTAACATGAAACGATGTAGAGATGGAAATATTTTTTATTTTTTTATTTTTTTCAGTTTTTTCTTGTAGTGTCTGAGCTGTAGATTATTAATTTGGTCTTTGGACCCATTGAGTACTTGACAGTGTGTGGGTATGCGCATTTAAGACAGTATATGCGTGCTGTTCCTCCGTCCACGTGTGTTTTTCAATGGACGACGGAGAACGACTTTGATACTGGTTGGTCTTTCTCCTATATATTTGCGCGGTTAAAGATTTACAGAGTTTTCTCATGTACATTTGTATACGCAATTCAGACATTGGTCTCATGTATCTGTCAGCGACGTTCTATTGCCATTGATGGCTTCTTTTATTTACTTATTTTATTTATTTTTATGACTTCGGTATATGAAAGTGGGCATGAACATAGATCTGATACAAACGACTTACGAAAGGTAAAAGATAATGAATGGAGGACTTTCAAGTGCTACTCAATACACCATGATTTGAGTCTACAATCAAGTTTGATTCAGTATAGGTCCGTGATTATAGACCCCTTGAGGTTTTAAGGTAACATGTTTGTGTGTGCTGATCCGACAATGTAGCCTGGGCATCACATACCTGCAAGGCTATCATTGCAGTAAATTCTGGCAGGTCCCGCTTCAATCTACCAGCCTCGACATGAGTCTTGCTCTTGAGAACTTGTAAAAGCCCGGTGATTTGCTCCTTTGCGCTCAGAATGAAGTCCACCACCTCGATCCATTGCTTTTTGGCTGTTGCGACCTGCTCAGATGAGCTTTCGACTTCTGCCTTGTACCGTTGTTCCCACTGCTTGGTAAGTTTCTCGGCGTCTTTATCTGTCCTCTTTGCAGCAAGTTCTTTCGCAACCACTTTCGCCTCCAGTTCCTCCCTCTCATTAGTCACTACCGCACAAGCCAGATCCCACTTTTCTTTACTCGCTTTGTGAAGAGCCTCCGATTTCTTGATGGTGGCGACGAGTCGAGACAGCAGGTCGAGCTTCTCTTGACGAGCAGCTTTGTATGCATATACTTCCTGTTCACACGAAATAGCTTCTTCTCTTGATTGGTGTACCGTTTGCAACTCTCCATGACTTCAAAGATAGCCTGCTTCAAACCATTAGCTACAGAGGTTCCCAGTATTTCTTTTGGTACAGTGCTCTCTATTTGCAAAGTAATTTGCAATTCACTTCCTGTAAGTGGCTGTCCGTCCGCTAGGATAGGTTTGAACCTTAGACAGCGCTCGTTGTATTCACCACACAGGATCTCCAGATCTTTTTCTTTGTTGGTAGATGCAAGCTCATGATCCCATGCTGCCTTGCGTAGCTGCTGATCCTTCAATACAACAGGCCGAGTGTTGGCATCAAGAAAATCTTTCTCTTTCTGCATGCGGTCAATATCTGCAGGATTTATTTCCTGTGAGGCTATACGATTGTGCAACTCCTCAATGTCAGCTTGGATGACAGTCTTCTCAGCTTTTTTGTCCACAAGGTCTCCTTTGCGCGCTTCCAGTTTCTTCTCTGCAGCTTGCTTGTGCCACTGTAAACTGCTAATTCATGTAAGAAATTTCTGCTTGTCGCTCAAAATGTCAGCCTTTTCAGATTCCAAACTCACGAGGGGGGAGGCTTCCGTAGACAGTCTTCGCAATCGCTCCTCTACTTCTGGCACCTTCAGCTTGGCCAGTTTCTCCGTAGTCTCGACAGTACAATCCTTAAACTGTTGACGAAACGCGCAGTCCAGGCGTTCACACTCATCATCGTCTCCCGCCAAGAAGCATTGATATGACTGGCTAAGGTTTTCGAAAAAGGATCTCGCACCTGCGTCTCAAACGTTACCACCGACTCCGTTGCCTCCTGATGTAAGAGAAGATGGATAAGCCATACCAGGGCCGCGAGCAGTCCTGGCCATGTATAAGGACTTCCAGCAGCGTACAAAGCGCTCATACTAATCTGAAATGGATATCCTAGCCTCTTGAACACAACAGGAACCTCCTCCTCGACTTCGACTGACAGCTTCAAGTTCGGATTAACCTTCTGAAACAAAAACTTTTCATTTAATGGCATCACTTGTTGTGACATTTTTTATATTGAATCTTGGTAATTAACAAAGAACTAAATCTACAATAATAATTGTGGTTGATGAAATAGTAATACTTTTTAAAATGGTAATACCAAATGAAATGAGGTTACTACCAAATAATAGAGGAAAATGACTAAAAATTTGTTGCTAACCTTTTAGCATATAAATTGGTGGATTTTAAATAGGATTGAACCTTATTTTATTCTATGATGAGTTGTGAAAGTAAATATAATGGATATAATAGTTTTCACCATATTATTGTATTATAAATGCTTAGAGTATGTAAAAATTAGTTAAAACATATTTTATGTTTATAAGTCTTAATTTGTGTTAAAATGGTTAATAAATTAATTTAAAGATAGTGAATATAAGAAACTTTATTCTGAATTTTATCTATTTTTATTATAGTGTTTAAATTATATAAGATTTAAATGTTTAGTATACAACTTTAAGAGAAGATAGAAGCGTAAGGATGAAAATCTAAACTACTAGGAGGCTTATGGAGAAGAATGAAATCAAGGCATGGTTGTATGAAGGCAAAAAGTAAAGATCTTTATTCCTATTGGTCAAAGGCCATTCCCAATGGGCATTTAACATGTTGTCTATGACCATAACAACGGTTTTGGCAACTTTAGAAGTAGCATTTGAAATTCAAAAGCAAGGGTTGTAAAGTTTAGGATTTGAACTACAATTTGTGTGAAAATGTTAAAGGATTTGGAATTAGGGTGATGAAGTTATAGCCATTTGAAGTTCAGGTGTCTTTTTAAGACATACTGTTGCTATTTTGAGGATACGAGGAGTTTTATGATAGATTTTGGAAATTGGGAGATGCGGCTTTAAGGATGATTTCAAGATCTATATCTTTTGTGAAGTAATTTTTGTATTTGGAGTTTTTATGAAGAAGTTATAGAGCATTGAAGATAGCACATGTAATTCAAAGGCAGTAAGTGAGTCTTTTATTGATAGTAATGGTTTGAGCCATATCTTGAGTTTTTGGATGAATTTTTGGCTTAAAATTTCAAATAGTATGTATTATTAGGTTAAAAATTTATATATCAAAGTTTTATGGTATTTAAATACTTATTTTGTGAGATATGAAGAAATTTACACATGGGTGTATGTAAGCAAGGGTTTGAAGCTACTATTAGGATTTTGACAATATCTCAAGATTCGTAATAGTTTTGCCGTTGAAATTTGTTGTGATAGTTGTTAAAAGTACATTAGTACTTCATGTAAAATTTGGGTTTGTTTGGACAGTCCAATCGTGAGATATGAATTGTTGAAATTTGGAAAAATTTTACCTTAAGGATATACAAGGTTTTATAATATTTTTATTACATTTTTGTTGATCTTTGGTACTTAAGGCTTATGTATTGATGTAATTGCCTCTATAGGGATAATTTTATATATAGACTTGGTATTTTTTTATCTAAAGGCTTGATTGAGCATTTAGTAATAGCCAAAAGCCCAATGCTTTCTAAAGGCAAATTCTTTCTACCACGACATATTGATGCTTTTATTGAGAGAGACTTAAGGCACTAAATTTTTCAACAAGTGAAGGTGGGAGATACAAAGCAATGAAGCTCAAATGATGAAGGTAGTCAAAATCTTGTAGATGAATTTTTAAAGGCTATGCCAATGTTTATAGGCCAATAAGTTGTTAATGTAACTTTGCAAGGGACTACCAAAACATTAAGGAATGTTATTGGAAAAGGTGGGAGGTTTGATGGAAAGAATAACACTAAGTTTTTGAGGGTCTATACTTGTAAAATAGAAATCTATCAAATTTTAGAAGATAAGATGATTGAGACCTTTAATTTAATAGTTATTCCAAAGATCAGAGAAAGGGTGAAACAACTACATGGGAGTATTGATGTAAAAACATGGGTTAGTTTTGAAGAGAGATTGAGAGATGAATACTTTGATGAAGACAGTGAATGGATGATTAGAAGAAGTTTTTTTGATTGGATGGATCAACAACCAAATAAACATATGGAACCAAACGAGTTATTGAGAGAGTTTGAGAAGAAATTTGGCCAACTCCCATTATCTGAGAAGTACCTTCTAGAGGTAAGGAAATCAAAGCTATTCTTGCAAGCTCTAAATGACATGCTAGAAGATAGATTGCTTCTCTTTCTTCAAGATGAGACAATAAAGATTGATTTTACTATTGATTGAAAAAAGTTGGAAGAGGCAGTGAGCTTCATTATTAAGCAACAACATGTGAAGTCTAGAAGGATTGGAACAAAGATAAAAGCTACACTAGTGAAAGATATGGAAGTTTTAACAACAAGCTCTTTAAGAGATAAGAATGTACATGAAGAAATCCTTGATGAGTTAATGAGGAATATGAAAGAATTAAAGATAGAAATGATTGCTTTGAAGAAAGACACAAGGTCAAGTACTTCACGACTAATTGAAGGATGAAAGGGATTTATGGTGAAGTGCTTTTGGTATGATGATTCAAACTACAAACGTAGTGATTGTGGATTATATACAGATGCCATGAAGAATGGTATTATTACTTTCAAAGAAGATAAAATTAGAGATTCTACAATGATTGAGCCTCTAAAAACTAACTTGTAAAAGAGGAGGCATGAAAAAATTGATGGAAGAATTGATTGGAGAGGAACAACTCTTTACTTGGTAAGGAAGTAGAGACTTATATCATTGAGGCTGAATACATCAAGGTAGGAACTTCTATATATATATTTAAAGAAGTAATAGTGAGGGGAGCTCAAGCTATTAGAAGACTAATTGGATAGGATGATCCAACTAATGCAACTACCATCAAGTCTTATTTGGTAAGTGAGCATAGAGAGAAAGAATCCTATGATGCAACAGTAGACATTAAAAGAGACAAACTAATGAAGACAAAGAGATAGTTGAGCTAAGCAACAAAAAAAAGATCTTAGTGGTAGAAATACTATTCTAAGACAAGGACGAGTAGGCAATATAAGGCAAAAATAAAAATCAAGGCCTTTTGCTTTATATCTAAGAGTTGATGTTCCACTCCCAAAAGAAAAGTGGGAAGAGAAAATGAGTAGTAGCAAGGACAAGGAGAAGAAAGACATCACTAAGAGAAAGAATAAGGCACTAGCCTATAAACTTCAATCTAATATTGAATCCTTAGTTGATATAAAGGGCATCTTAGAAGAGAGGATTTTGGATGCTAAGATTGAATTTACCTTGAGAAAAGCTCTTTATATTGCTAAGAAAGGTTTTTATGAACTCATCATTGATATTATTGAGAGAAAGAAGCAAATGATAGCTAAAACAATGACGGCAAGAATATTAGATACTCTGATAATGAAGAAAGAAGAAGAGGAGATTAGATAAGTTTTTGCCTTGAAATGTGATAATATGGGCAGTAGTAACTAAGGCAAAAGATATGAAGTTATTTATGATAAGATTGTGAAAATAGAAGTTAAAATTATAGATGAAGATTTATGCGATGAGATAAAGAATAAAGTGCTACAAATATTTTTATGTGATAGGGTAGCTAACATGAAGGTAGAAGCCAATACTAGGAAGAACCGAGAAGAAGGAATTACAATAGAGGCCAAGTTGCCTCAATGTGAGGTTAATAAGCTATAGAGGAATGATGGTGAAGCTTTGATAGCTTATACTCATCCATTTTAGGCAAGAGCTACTACGGAGACATGTATAAAGATTAGAGGCCTTAAAGAGCTAATCCTAATATTAGTGGATCATGGCTCTAAGATCAACATCTTGTTTAGAAAGATTTATGAGAAGAATAAGTGGCCAGTTGATACCAACCATGGATGGATATTGAGAGCTGCCAATAATGAAAGAGGTTATGTTTACGAAGCATATCTAGTAGGAGGCATTAAAATTAGTAATGAAGAAGTGGAGCAAAATTTTTTTGTGTAAAATCAAAGAAGTTATCTAATCATTTTGGGGCAGCTACATATTAGTGCAACAAGGATGGAGACCAAGGTGTTAGATAATGGTTCATACTATGCGAAGATTCGTAGCCATGATGGCAAGTAGTAAGTCCAATTTCTCATAGTAAGGCCAGATCATGAGAGGCATAGAAATCAACTTAGAAAAACTTCTATGGATCATAAACATGATAATTTTTTGGATTTCTAAATTGTACACTTGGAATATAGGGAGCCATGAGTGTAAAGAAATCATCTATTATAGCATGTCCTAATATATAAAGTAGTTGTATGGTTTGGAATTTGACAGAGGATGGATGTATGAGTTTTTAAAGGATTATATGAAGATTTATTAATTAAAGATTTGGATTCTAAGTGTAAAGGATCAATTAAGAAGATAGAAGAAAAATTAAAAAGAATTAGTATGATTTTGAGTGGTAAATCTATTTTTAGAATTATTGAAGAAGAAAGATTTTTATATGATATTTTACAAGGTTTTAGAAACTTTGCATAGAGAAGACATTGCATCTATTGATATGATAGTGAAGATTTATTCAAGAGGATTATATGAAGAGATATTGAAGATAGCTTATGATGAAAATTTGATTGAAAGTTATGGCTTAGAAATTAAGACAATAGTGAATACCAAGTATAAGCCTATGACAAAGAAGGTGAGGCTAGTAGCAATACAACTGCCATCAGTGTCGTATTGCGTGGTTTTTTATCTGGAAATACATTGGGTACTTAGCTGTAGAGAATTTAGTTTTAAATTTTTGGCCAAGCTTCAATAAGTTATTTAACCTTAAAAGTAGAAGAGAAATAAATATTACAATATCAAAAAGATATTATACTAATAAACTATTTTATATTTAAGAAGGTTTGTATGTAAGGCTTTCTAAAATATCTAGAAATTTTCTAACATTCTTGGCTATATCAAATCATAGCTAACCATTTGCTGGTAGATTAGGTTTTCAATAACTTCAAAAGAAATCTATAATCTCCTATCAAAAGTTCATCTTTATAAAAAAAATTCAACCATAGCTCCATATATCCATCTTTAACATATATATGAAGACTTGGCTTCCAAAATACTCCTTTACTTTGAATAAAATGCTCAAGTTATAATAAAATCCCTTCAAAATATATTATTTCTACAAATGATTTTTTCTTCTTCATCTTTAGAAATTCATATCTCTTGATCTAACCATTCAGATTTTGCCAAATTCACGGATGTTA